AGACCAATGCAAGTGCAGAAGAGCAAGCAGAGAACTTGAAAACAGATATTACACAATACACAGTGTGGATTGATGTGACGAGAGAGAAAACTGCGTTTGAATTTTCCAGTCTCTCACTCCACCTCTGGAAATTAGTAAATGTATCCTTTTTAATTTTATTTTTTCTCTGTCGAATTTATTGTTTACAGCTTTCAGTAAAATGTGGATTTCTTTTGCGTTTCATCCATTGTTTAAAGAAAAATTGGCTAAAATAATTTTAAAAAAAAATTATATTTCATTAGCTAACCAAATGTTTTTAATTTAATAGTTTACATTTCTCCCCATGCTATTTTCATTAGATTGCTAATATATATTTTTTTTTTTGTTATTGTTGCAAACCACTCTTGTTTAAATCTAGTAATTGTATGAGACGACGAGTTAATATTAAATCCTACAAGAGAATGAATACTAATCATAAGATAATATTCAGTCCAATTAGGTAAAAATCTGTAGCAACTGGAGAGATGGACACTCACACGTTTCTACTTTTCAGTTATAGTAGAAAGGCGAAAACTTTCTAGTAAACAGTGCAGAGGTCTATTAATATGCCAAATCCAAATAGTTTTTTATTTTTCCATGAATTTTGGGAACCACAAAATGGATTTGGGTTATCGGGCTCCATTTTTTAAATATTTTAAAACTTTAATAATAGTACGTTAAAATCATTTTCAACATTTTGGCGACTAAATGGATTCAAAATATATATATTTTTTTTTTCTTCCACTGGAATATTTTTATTGAACTTGAACTGAAATTACATCATGAGTAAGAGACCACATCAAATCACAAAGAGAAACCAAATGTCATAACTGCAACAATATAGGAATGAAGATAGCCTTTTTTGACGACACACTGGCTATCTTGCACCAAGTCTAGAACCAATCGAACAAAAGACATTCCCACACAACATCAGTAGAAGACGAGTTTCAAACACTTTTGACGAAAACACAACAACAAGTCTCAAGAAAATAATAAGTCTTTTTCAGTGATAGTCTTCGTCGGATTTGGAATAGTTAGCTTCATAAAGCACACTAAAGTCAGATGAACAAAACATAACTGCAATTCTCAAACGATATATCTGCAACGACCACGAACCAAATTTTGTGGATTTTGGTCGTGCGTCGATCGGTACAAGGGGTGTGTGTCGATCGACGCAGGTCGCTAATCGAACCGGATGGGTTCGATTTGAGTTGTCAGTTCGGCTCGGTCTAGGAAAAACCCTAGGGCTTCCCTATATAAAAGGTTTGGGCGTGTTTTTGGTCGAGTTTTAGTTTCCAGAGAGTTTCCAGAGAGTTTGAGAGAGGATTTGAGAGAAGAGGAAGAATCATTGTTGATTTTTTCGAGTTCTTGATCCTAAAAGCTCTTGTGTGTGTTTGTGAGGCTCTGGAGATCGTTTCTGTGGTTTGGATTCACGATTTAGGAGAGGATTCGAGTTTGGAAATCCGTGTTCTTCGTCTTCTTCGCGTTCTTCGTGTTTCTCATTCATTTTTCCTTCCGGATCC